CATATCAAGGTTTTGTATTTATGTGAGATGAATATGAATGGACCTTTAACTTATTTCGGAATCATAATTGTTTCCAAAAGTTTACGTGAACTAGAAAAGAAAGAAGGAGGAAGCAGGCGTGAGATATGATAATACGACTTCATGTGAAGTGGAGCAGTGTCTTGTTCTGAAGATTTGTGTGTTATTGTTTTTATTAATTGTATTATTTTATATTAAATTTTGAATTTATTTATCGACCTGTTTTTTGTAATTACGATTGTTATATATTTCTTATCCGACTATAGATTACTTTTTGTTAAAATTAAAATTCAACGTTTTTTTGTTATATTTTTTAATAGACTCGCCTTGGAAGTCACCATTAGGATCGGGATCTAACATAAATTAATATTAATAAAATCTGTGTTTAACACGCCATGCTCTTGATTCTATTGTCCATATTGCACAACAGAATCAATATAGACAATATTGATTGATTGTAGAATTGACAATTCTGAGTGGTACACAACTATTTCTTTGCTAGAAGTCCTCGAAGAATTGAGAAAAACCAATCAAAGAGGAAAGATCATCTTCTACCATGACAAAGCGAGCTCCCATATATCAGCTTAAACAAAAGAGTTTTTGAGCACTCAAAACGTCGGATTGATGGGTCATCCGACTTTCATTTCCGACTTGGCAGCAAATGATATCTTCTTATCTCGAAATATTAAGAAAAATAGTGTTTAAACATTTAATATCATGGTTTTGGAGATACCAACTTAAAAAAAAAAATTGGTTAAATAGAATGCAGAAATGTATTGATTGTTATAGAGAATATGAGTTCTAAGAAAAACATTAAAAATATTTTCACTGATTGTCCGCTGTGTTTTTGGTTTCAGGCGCAAGACTTAAAAGGTAACCCTCAATATATACTGTCTTGGATATGAAGCTGTTCTTTTGTTGGCGAATAGGTATTTTATTTAATGAATAAATTAATATAAATTATATATAAAATTTATAGAATAATTAAAAAATATATATTGTACTTAAAATATATATATGCGACATTATTTAAGCACAGTCTTCTTTCTTACTTAACATCAAATTCGATACATTTGAATTGCTGCATTTGGAAGTATGGGAGTGCTGATTTGTACTGTAATATATATATCAAATCTTCCATTTTTAGAGATATGAATGAATTCACTTAAGCATTAATATATATTCTATAGTTAATCCATTTGATGAATTTACTGATAGGTTTCGCTGAATTGCATTAATTAATTTAGCATGGATGTTTCCGTATAAATTTAAGTAAAAGTCTTAACATAATCATATCAGCTTCTTAAGAGAAAAGGTTTCAATAGCTAATGGCACTAATAAATTCAAGTTTTACGGTTGTATGTAGCTATGCTACATTGTGATCACTGTATTTGGTTGCAAATATTCCTATGACATATTCTAATCACTTGCTAACAGAGGGAGCCAAAGCTATCGTACGTGCAACTCTTTGCAGTATAGCATTTCAGCGCGGTAGTTATTTATGCAAACACATTGCCATAGATAAGTTATCTCAGCTATTTTACTTGCAACAATAGAACAAGTAAATATTTTACTAAAAGATTCTTGCGCTTTTGGTTTGAGCCCACGGCAAATGTGGTTGAGAATGGAAGGCAAAACAAACGATATCAGCGGCAGAACTTCTCTGCAGCTTTGTATCTAAAGGGGGCTTACGTATGCACGCAGCTGTGTGATTTGAGGAATGCTGCTACTTTTTAAAATACTCGAAATTCTGAAACTTAAGTCTTCATTGTAATTATGAAATATGTAGTGTGGCATGCCAAACCTTACTAACTCTTCCTAGTACGAGCTCCACAAACACATGTATCGGAGGCATACCGAGACATGCTGTGTGTACTTATGTATACGAGTATGTACTGTATGTCGAATGGGAGCATAGAGATGAAAAAAAGCAATAATAAATAGAAAAAGTAGTAAAAGTTGACAGAAGGCGTGGAAAACTCAGTACCAAACCTGCCGAGCGCATAGCTTTTTTTGCTGCTATTTTGGATGATTGAGCAAATATTTTTATCGCGTTGGGTTTTTGGCTTTTTCATTCAGAGTAAAAATTCCTTATATCTTTTCATCATGCTGTTCATAGAATCTGGAATTTTAATATTTTCACTTTACAACAACAAAATTGTTCAAATTTTTCAAGCGCATTACATAAAGTATTTGGCACAGGAATAGATAAATTCTTTAAATCAAATTCATTAGTCATAATTCAAAAGTCAGTTCTAATGTTTATTTTTTCTTTAGTCTTCTAAAGTAATTGAAACTAAATAAATAAATCTGATAAACAAAGAAATCTTAAATATTACAAAGAACAGACTTTATATATGTTCGTCCTGAAATCAAGTGTCCTACTTAGGTAATTGGTAAAAACACTCACTACTTTGGTTAACTTTTGGATATATACTTATAACGTGCAAGTCAAAAACAAAAGTCACCACATTAATCTCTTACTATTAACATTAATAATGTTTATTATTAATAATCAGTAATAATATCTGCCCGGGTTTTATGGCCAATTACTTCGATAAATTCTTCTTCAACTCCTTGGCGTTGCAAAGTTAAAAGTTTTGAAAACGAGAAAATGTCGTGACTGCATCTTCAATGTCTAACTTCTGCAACTTTTTCTGCAATGTTTCTGCAACATTTAGCTGTAATAATGTCTGGCCGGGTTTTATGGTGTATTGTGCCTATTGTTCTTCTTGAAGTCCTCAGTGGTGCAAAGTTTACAGACTAGAAGACGAATAAATGCAGTTGGGAGAGCCAACCCAATATTTTTTCCTCGAAATTGCTTCTTCAATGTTTGGTTCTTGCAACTTTTTCTGCAATGTTTTTGCATTATTTAGCAGAAATAATGACTGGCCAAGTTTTAAGATCTAATTCCTTCCATGTTTATTCTTAAAGCCCCTATTGATGCAAAGTTTGCAGATTTGAAGAAGAGTAAATGCAATTGGGAAAGATAATCCAATATTTGGTTCACGAAACTTCTTCTGCAATGTTTGGTTCTTGCAATTTTGTCTGCAATATTTCTGCAATATTTAGTAGAAATAATGTCTGGTCAAGTTTTAAGATCTAATACCTCCCATGCTTGTTCTTGGAACTTATGTTAGTGCAAAGTTTATAAATTTGAAAACGAGTAGGTGCCTGCTTTTCTACTATGTATTTGATTCTAGCACATATTTAATAAGGGGAGCATTAGCAAAATAGTTGTCGATTGTGAAGGTCATACATCTTTATAGATATATGCTCCAAATCAACAACAGCCCCGAATTCCGTTGATTTTTCTACGAGAATCCGAAAGAATTGCGATAAATGCTTACTATAATAAAGTACAATAATGTTTATGATGAGAAGCAATTGTAAGCAGATAAATTCTCTTAAAATTGTGAGTAAAGTTTCTATTTAATAACTCAAGAACTTTTTGATCCTCGACAAATTACTTGTTTTATAGTATATGAAATTGAAATTTTTCGCTAATAGATAAAATTCTGAAACTCGGTTATGTGTTATGCTTAAAAACCAATTGCATGAAACTCTTTAAGATTACAGTTATAAATAAATTTATATTTTCAGAAAGTAATTTTATTACTTTTTCTGTAATATGGTCCAGATCTAAAAAAAAATTAATATTATTAGAGTTGGGAAATTGTGCCATAGAAGCTACTTGTTAAGTTATACTACAATATTCAAAAATAGACATAAAATTATGTATTTGTAAAAACAGACTAATTTTGAAACATTTATTTTTGCATTTTAAACCAAATAATATCTATATAATATATGTTCAAATCCGAAGCTGGCAATAGGCAAGACTGCCAATATTATTTAACGCATATGCTAAGTACATTTTGGGACCTGTACTTGAATTTTGGAATGGCGGTATATGTATAGGATAAGAAAAAATTAATAACTTGAGTTATGTGGACGATACACTCATTTTGGGATTCAATAAAAGTGAGCTCACTCTTCTAATAGAGAAATTGACATCCATAAGTGGGCTGGAGATAAACACTTCCAAGTCAAAAGTTATGAAAGTTGACGGGAAAAATAACAATCAGTCAAATTAAGCGACGATTACAGGCTTCAAGGTTGTAAATAAATTAACCTACTTGGGATTTCTCATAACTAATACTGATGGCAGCTCTGAAGAAATCAAACGTCATTTAACAAAGGCAAGATCTGCAATAATAAAAATTATAAAAATATGGAAATACAGAAAAAAATATAATAAAGCTTCTTCTTGTACACACCTTGGTGTTTTTTATAGTCACCTATGCAGCCGAAACATGGACCATAGAAAAATTGGACAGGCAGGATGATCAAGGCCTTCGAACTTTGGGTCTGTAGAAGAGTATTAAGAATTCTATGAATAGTGCTTACTGAACCAACGTCTCTGTATTTAACGAATTAAATGTAGACTAGGCTTATGAAAATTATTCCAACTCCAACATAATTAATCTACTTGGCCACGTAGCAAGGCGATCAGAAAGTCTGGACCAACGACGATGTCTAAGTGCTTTTCTGCTTTTTACATACAGATGGCTCTTTACGAATTTATAGGTTAATATAGTATAATAGTATTGTTATAGTATATAATATAATAACTCCAATGACATTAATATAAAAAGGTGAGTTGAGTAATTTTTTTTCTGGGATAAATTTTATCTCACGGAACCTAATTTCATGTTAAAGTAAAATTTAAAAAAAAATTAATAAGATAAATGTATATTGCAGCGAAATATTTGATTTATCTCTGTAAACAAAATAAAATAAAATTTTAAAATAAACTTTATAAAAATGTAAAAGACTGAAATCGGAAATATTTAAATACTAATATGACAATTTATTTCAGTTATGATAAACCATGCCAGTGATGTCAATGTATTTAAAAAAAGAAATTAATTTAAAAATTTTCTTTTCTATTTTTATTTTATAAACAAATTTTTTGTATTCAAATTATTAAGTTAATCTCTTTCATCTTATAATTTTGTTTAAGCGTGGCAATCTAAAAGGAAAGATAACTTATATCTTTTTGATTGTGTAAATGCTGCCATTTGCTTTTTTATTATAATTTCATTTAACACCGTAAGTAAAAGTTCTAATACTATTTAAAATTTTCAGAGATCGCCTTACCATCGGGGTTCTAGAACTCTATTCAAAACCATGAGAACTGAAGTATTTTTTGATAAAATTTAGCATTCAATATAAGGTTAGTAGATTTAACATCTTGATTTGTTTGAGAAATAACTTATTTATTCAAAAGATCTGACTTTTAATTGTATGCCTAGCCTATTACATGTTCCGAACTTTCGATTTATAGTTTTTATAAACTTCAAGAATGGAAAAGAAGAAGATTTATAGGAAAAAATATACACAATTGTCATTTCGTAGACAAAGCAGCAAGTATAATATTGTTCCACTTAAGTCCTTTAAATATGGTTTCCATGCTCTTATTGTTGGGTCACCACATGAATGACCTAACCCACTAAGTATTTATCACATATATTTTAACTTATATAGTTGTGTCTATTTAATACTTAATAATATTAAGTAAAATTTGAACAAATTTGAATGAATCAGATTATTCGAAAGACTTCAATTTAGTGTGTATTTCATTTATTATTAACAAAACTTGTTTTAATTGGATTAACAGTGCAAATCAAAGCACATCATAATCTATAAGATCTATTAGTTATCCAAAGGTCTCGTTATATGGCAACGTATTCGGAATTTCGAACAACATTAAAATAAATAATAATTTGTTATTGAAAATAGGTTAAAATACACTATTGTGTAATTTATACACTTATGTTTGGGTTCGAAACATTTTATGTAGCATTGTTTTTATTTTGCTTTAGACCTTTTCGAAATATGTTGTTTAGGAACCATATCAACATATAATTCATTAACAAAAACAATTGTCCGCGTAGTTCATTTTTTATGTTTCAGTACAAAAGGAAGTTATTGGATTATAGTCGTTGATCCATGAATTCGATATTTTGTTACTCGCTTGATGTGATGTATAAGGAAACCATATTGTCGTAATGTGGTATTATTCGTCTTTAGGTTTCCTTGTTTCGCGAAACTTTTCCTGTAAACAAATAATACAGTAAACATTCAGAATTGGCCGTTTTATTACACATTAGTCTAATAACACTGTTTCTGATTCAATAATGTTTAAGCCTGAGTAAGCAATAACTTTATCAAAAAATACCTTTCATCAAATTTTATGAGATCCAATGAAAACATATCTATTTTTCAATTAGATAATAGTTTATATATCACAGTGAAACTTATTTTTTAGATTGACTCGGTCTCAAAGTACGTTTGATAAAGATATTGCATTTATCTTGAGGCTAATGAGCCATAAACCAAGGAAAATAATATTCAAGGTTAAAAAATGATATTCTTGACCTATGGATTCTAACCTATTTTAACCAAGAACCATTAAGCAATTTTTTTTTAGTAGGGACCACAAAGTTTAAAAATAGTAAACTGTAAGATTCTTTTAATACGTTTTATGCATCTCTAATATAATGTATTGTATAAGTATTGTATAAGTTCATAAGTTTATTATATAGGCTATTAAATAGATATATTTCTAATAAGTGAGGTGTCAGTGAACAAACTACAAAAAGTGTATCCAGATATGTTAAATTTGATTCACGGACCATTGTTAACCACCTCGCGGACCACCGGTTAGGAATTACTGATCTAGACCATTGATATTTCTTCAAAGCAGAAAGTTATAGCGATATGAAAAGTGAAATAGTCTGAGTGTAATTATATTTAACCAGATATGGATATAGATGTTGGTGTTCTAAGTGTTCTTGACTTTATTGGTTTTTGTTTCAACATGGAAATATTTTATTTTCTATAATCGTAAAAATAAAAATTATTTTCATTTTATGATAAGTAAAATTAAAAATTTACATTTTATGATGATAAAAGTTTGAACAGTTTATTTATTCATAATATTCAAATGTATTTGCAATTTCACCTTCTAACAAAGTCAGGAATGCAATCCAACTCAGATTGCAGATACTGTGGAGAAGAGAGAAAAACCGCATACTATGTCCTAAGGATGTCCGGCACTGATGTATAAAGCGGAAGAAACATTTAGGCGCGTATTTCATGAAATATAAGGATTTAAGACTGGGTTAGATAGGCCTTTTACTGTCTTTCCTTAAAGAAATTGGAGTTGGAGAAACACTCTAATTCGACTAAGTGGTACAATAGATCTTTTAGTTACCCTTTTGCATAATAATAACTTGAAATTCAGAGAAATTTTTTGAATAAACATATTTTTTGTTCAAAATACACTCCTACTGTTTTTAAGCAGCTCTCAGGGGTTTGTGTCAGGGGTTTGTATCTGGTAGTAACAATGTTCTCTAATAAAAATAGATATCTGACTTTGGGGCTCCGTACTCCTTTAACTTTATTTAAAATTGCTTCAAAATGTTATGTGCAGGTTTATAATTTTTTAATTGAGAATAAAAATTTTAATATTGTAGGTTTCCTTTCAGCGATTCATGACGGAAATATCAGAAACAAGGGACCAATAATCAGAAATGGTGTGATGACTATAATCTCATGAATATGAGTTTATCTGAAAGTCTGTTTCAAAGAGCCAAAGTGGCGCACATGGCTTCCAGATACGCGGATGTGGTGCGTAGTGTAAAACAAATGATAGAGAATGACATTATGCTCCCAGTTGAAGTGATAGACATGATGCAGATTGCTTACAAAGCCCTCGTAGTAAAATGTCAAAATCAAATACGCAACATTGAGAAGTGCAGTGAGGACAGTCGAGAGATGGCAAGACTCAAGAACAGCAAAATCTTCGATTTGAAACAAAAAATACGTAATTTATGCGTATCCGTATTTACGATAATAAGCGACAAGGTACTACCATTCCAACAATCTACAGATATTCGAATGGTCTGCTATAAAATAAATGGAGATTTCAACAATTTATTGTCACGTAACGTTGGTTATATGGGATGGAGTCTTCGCATCAATGAAACAATTGAAGCCTATAATACAGCTTTAAAATTGTCAAAGCGCATTTCAGATTTCAATAAAGATAAAGAAATGCTCATTTTAAATTATTCTTCATATAAGTGGCATATTCTCAAAGACAAGACTGGTGCTATTAATATAGCTCAAGAAGGACTTTCAGACGCACTTGACTTAAAGAAACGCATAAATTCTAAACAGCTGTCACTGCTTAATATATTCATAAAAGAACTGCAACGTAAATTAACCATATGGGGAAATTTTCAAATGTCTAAAGATATGCGTTATTTAACTTCTGGTGAAAGTGGACTAAAACGAGCAAATGTTGACCAGCAGAATACAACTCCATGAAATCCGATCAGCACTCTTAAGTTTAAAATTAATTAAATTCAAAAGATTGTATGAAAATATCTACATATTTGTATTTATTTATATAAATTATTGTATTGTGAAGTGTAGTAATTTTTGTAAAATTTTTTATATTCTTCAGACATAATTAAAATTTAAGAAATACTTTTCAACACATCCATATAATTTATTTAATATATTAATGATTAATTACTGTTTAATTCTATATTAATTTGGATCTACAAGTTGGAAATTTTTTTTCATGTAATTAAAAAAGAATAAATTGTTTAAATATTATATTACTAATATTATTGATATTGTTATTGAATATTATTTAAATATAATTCATATAAATATAATATAAAAAAATTATACGACAGATGCAGATATTATGCACCGGGACTAAGCTATAGCCTTGTTAAAATCTTATACAGTCTAAAAAAAATTAAAAACTTTTATAAATGGAAATATAAGCCATTATATAAGTCCCAACTGCATTTAGTAAGTAAAAAAAAATAAAACAAAAGAAAATAATATAATAAGATTTTATGTTTATTCTTTAAAATAATAAATTCTAAGGTTTTATAAGTCCATATCTAACTATTACACTATAAGTCTCATGCCAAAATCTTTGAACCGATTAGTATGATTATTAACCGAATGAACCAAAGCTACACGAAAATTTCGTGGTTTCAATATCAATTTTTTCGTTCATTTTAATTTTCATAAGGGCTACGTTATGCAGACAGTCAAAAGACAGCAATTTTACGCTCTTTTTTTCACCAAAAACCAGATAATCTTTCTTTCTGTTCTCCGTAACTATATCAGAATTATCAGGACTTGCTACCAATGTTTTCTCCGTAAATGTCTCCGCACTATACAGATTTATTCTCAACACTTTCTCCGTAACCACCTTAGAGTAATCAGGACTTGTTACTAATGCCTTCTTCGTAAATATCTCCGCACCCTAAATATTTGCTTTCAACTTTTTTCCATGACCATATCAGATTTATCAGAACTTATTACCAATGCTTTCTACGTAACCATCTCATAGTAATCCAGACTCCAGTGCAACTTATTTAGTAAGAGTTAATTTTGACGAGTCTATGATTTTCTGCATAACATAATCCTTCCCAACTACAATGACTGAAATTATTTTCATTTGGTTTCATCTGAGTTCTTAAAAAATACTCGAAGATTAAATATTATATATCATTTGCTTCTCAAAACAAGATTATATTAAATTAAACGAAACTAAATACATTCAGACTGGTATTTTGTGATTTTATCAAAACAAACAAGCAAACTTAAAATTTCTACGTTCTTTAAAAACAAGGCTCAAAGAATTTATATTCTCGGTCACATAAATCATTCATATCCGTATTATGCAATTTTATAAAATTAAAAATTTTATGAACACAGAAAATTGGCGCACATATTCGATCTTTCCTAGTTGGAACAATATTATATTAAACTAATTCACAATCGCACATTGGTAGTTCGCGCTTTTATCAAAAAAATCGAGCAAACTAAGTGAGAATTAAAATTATTGCGCTTTAGACAGTCTAATATTAATGTGTATTTGTACTATACAATTCTATGTACATAAAAATTTATAAATATTAATATATACATAAACATTTATTCATATTCATATTCCAACTTATCCATGTGTATATCTTAATCCCTCATACATGAATGGTTTCTTGGATGCTAAGATTACAGTACTATTATTTATTAAATATTGGTCCAAATATCAATTTTTCTGCAACTCAAAAAATAATTTCTAAAAGATTATGTGTCTAAATATTAGATTCCCAGAGAATGTAGTCACAGAAAAGTTATATGCATAAATTGAGATGATACAATATTAAAACAAGTTCAGAAATCTATATTGGTATTATGTGGTTTTATCGAAGTGCAGAATAAAACGATATGACAATTAAAATTTTTACGTATAATAAAACTGTGAATCTTACATATCTAATATATAGATATATCATTATTTTGAAAAATAAATATTGAAATACCGTGAATAAGATTTACTTATTGCTAATAATTTTTATACATCAATTTTGAGTTCATTAAATATTCAGGAACTTATTTTAGTGGTTAGATTACGACACAGAAAAATGTGTAAAATAGTTTATAAGACTGCAAATCAAAATTGTGTCAGATTCACTCTATTTCCCATTATAATAAATTTATCATCACGTCTATTCTGGCATCATAAGTTTCTACCAAAATGAAGAAGTCATCTCCGGCAGAATTTAAACTTCAAAATGGCTGAAATAGTTTATTAAAATATTGTTTCTTTCAAACATATTGAATGAAACTAAATAAGTAATAATTTTAAATTGAAATAATACTATATTAACATAAACATACTGACGCTTCGTCATTATGTGTTTTTAAGAAAAGAAAATGCAAAGTCGATGAGAATTAAAATTTTCTCATTTGTGATTAATAAGTACATTTTATACAAGCTTATAAAAATTTGTTAGAAAACAATTATATGTATCATACACTCAATAATAATGCAATTGAGAGCGTATAAATTAGGTAAAAATGATTAAGGTTAGTGGTTCGGTATCAGTTTACCCGAAGTTTTTAGACAAAAGCTCTCCTTTAATTGACTTATCGCTTTTATTGCTGCTGGTTATCATTTCTTCACACTTTCATTATTTTGAAGCTGTTAGCAGTTTTGCTTATTTTAATTTATATGTCGTGTATAAATAAAGCAAACTATTTAGTTTCGAATAAAATTGTAACTGAACACAGTTCTAATATTGATCGGACTTTTTCATTGAATTTGATATACAACACTTTTTAAATGTCCTCTACGAGATAACTTATAGTATGACGAAACGAAATGTATATTTCGTTAGCTGGGAACGATATATTTGTGACAGCAAATGGTGAATTGCTATCACCTTACAAAAGTTTGTTGACGAAATGACAGGTACTTAAAAAGGTTAAGGTAGGTTCGGAAGGCGCTTGTTGACAGTTGCCAGCACTTCCACTCGGAGGCATATATTGCCCACTGTGATGAAAGCTTTGTCGGGAAAGGTGAGTTGACAACCTTTGTAAACAGGTACTAACAATATTATTTATATCCTATCAGCATCTGAGTGAGATAGTAACTTGTGTTTTCCGATTTTCATTTCAGGCAAGAGATTAAATTTGGTATAAGTCTACTTTTCATTTTCCTTGAGTGCTATTGTTTCATATTTGTTGCCACATTTCGATGATTTGCTCCTGATCTTCTCTTGCCATTTGTTGAGTATAGTGGCTGGTAATTTTCTTGCTATATACTTGTTACTATAGTTTCTTGTTGGCGTTCCATTGCTTAAAGATCAATTAGAGCTACACCTGCTATCACAAAAATTGCTTTCGCCGAACCAGTACTAACACTAATGTGATACGTAGAGCGTTCTGCTCGTTTCGATATCTAGTGCATCTATCCACACTTCGTTACCATATAGAAGAATGAGGTTTACTGCTGCTATCAGCAATTTCCGTTTTCTGGCAACGAGTTCTTCCAAGTTAGACATTACTTTGCTTAAGGCAGCAGTGGCCTTTGCTGCTTTCTCTACTGCATGCTTTATTTGTACCCAAAACGTAATTCTCGCATCGAGACTTTTTTAAAAGAAATTAATCGTTTTTAGGTCTGCAGCACATCATTATTTAATCGCATCACTATTTGCGTATTTATATCCCTTCGAGTTAATAGTAGTATCTCCGTTTTATGAGTAGGCAGCTGTAAGCCATGCGTGTTTAACCAGTTTAACCAGAGTTTTCTTTGCACTACTTGAGTATCGCGGCCGGTAATATTTGATGCCACGTCATCTGCGTAAACTACTAGAAAGACATCATGTGGCATCTCTATTTAATACTCAAATATCGTTATCAAAAAATATATGAACTCATATCAAAGCTGCATAAAAGCTGATGAACAATTTCACTTTGACACTCAGTCAAACATATGGACACATTCAGATCTATTAATCTCGTGAACTTGATGACGGATATATGTACATATATATAAATACTTTGTGTGGTTTCTGATATATCTTTCATTGTATTATATACAACATATACACTAACTTAGTGTGTCCTTTGCGCACTATGTGTGTACAGGACAAAAAATATATGTGTATTTGGATAACAAGGAATTTCCGAGTAATTCAAATAAAACACAATAAATAATTTCAAATGCAACTATTTACTGGACGGAAAGATAAAGCGAATGCAATAATGCACTTCAATTTCGCAGCGTTTTATAGCTTGAAAAGTATTAAATTCGGTTGATCTGTTCGAATCGTGCGATTTTGGACGCATTCTGAAGAAAATGAAATTTTGTTAAGAGAACTACTCATTAATCTGCTGGAGACAGTTTCTGTATATAAAACTGTTGTTGCAAAGGACAATTGCGAAGGATGATTTTTTACTGACAGCAGAGATAAGTGAGTGCGAAATCGCAATTGAAAGTGGATTTTTCAATGCACAAGAAGTGACATTAGAAGAATGTTTCCATTGCAATGACGTTCTAAGTCATCAAATAAAATAAAAAAAATATTATTTAAAGTTAAAATACTTATACTTACTTTAAACTTAATGCATAATTGTGATACGAACTTGTAGAATATCAACTAATTTAAAGTAAAATATTTGGAAATCACATAAAATAATTGGTTAAGTTTTCTTATAACATAACCATTTCAAACGCAATGAATCTGAATTATGTTTGAAACCATTTATTTTTAACAGAGAAATAAAAATTAGAAGTATTCCAATAAGTTTTCCTTCCTTATAAGTTTTGCATTTGTCCTCTAATCTGAGGACTAGATTTCTGGCCAATTATACTTGATGTATTATTGTACCACTATCGCAATCAATCCCAATAATTCTTTATTGAAATATAAAGGCTTTATAAAAACATTAACAGAGTATCTGCTATAAATGAGACCTTATGACACTTCTTAAGTCAACCCTAACATTTTAATAGAATTCCGTTAAGAGCAATGAAACTTAATCGATTAACATTGAATAGGTTCGTTTTGGATTTCGAACTTATTGTTATTTAA